TGAGACACTGTCTCCTGCATTTTTTTATTCTTACCTTTGCCACCTCTGTACTGTGTAACCTTGTGCCAATGCTGTGCCTCTGTTTGCCCAGCTGTAAAATGGGACAATACTGACCCATCACTCTGGATCTTGATATCTCTAATGACCTCTATTATTGTATGCATATAAAGTAGGAGTACTGGGTGTAGGGGCTCTTCTATTCCTGGTGCTGCTGGAGGGTCAGGGGCTGGGATTTGAACCTATAGAGCTGCATTGTTTCTTACTGATATTGTGAAAATATTAACTGGCTCCAGGCAAGAAGGGAGGCTCAGCTTGAGGCCCACTGTCCCAGGCTGAAACCCTCAGACTTCGGCTTCAACGTGGGGCCCTAGCAACTAACACTGGCCCTGGTGACCCCATTAATATAGGGTTGTGATGCACTTTGGGATCCCAAACTTCCGTGTTAGTCTCTCATCTGTGGGTCTTGCTGGTGGTGCATTCACCAGGATGTCCTCCCTCTCAACATGTCCTCCCAAGGCCTTAGCCTTGCTAAAGCCTGAACTCCAACAGGCCCCTGTGCACTGTCTGTCCCTCCCCCTCCCTCCCCCCCAACCACATTTGCCCTTCTCAGCTGGAGAATCTCCTCTGCTCTCTGGGTAGGCCTACCTCCCTTTAATCAGTTACCAGTTAATACGAGCACCTTTGCAAAAGCTGGATGCTCCCTAGGGACAGCAACGTGTGGCTCAGCCAAGCGAAAAGGACACTCTCCCCCTCCCCTGCGACTGTGTGGTAGCTGATGGTGGGTGCCCAGCCTCCAAGCTGCTGCAGCATCCCCAGGTAGGGCCAGTCTGCAGGGTAGAGGGGAGGATTTGGGCTCTTGTTCTGGCCAGTGGTGAGTGAACCAGCTCCCTGGGACTCTGATGGCAGCTCCTGTAGGGTCTTGCTCCCAGAGTTAGATCAGGCTTTCTGCTTTCCAATCCACATTTCTCTGACCCTTCCACATCTCTCCCCACTTTCATCCTGTCCAAATGACAGAGCCAGCTCTTCTCTCGGGGCTGAAGATCAACTCTTCCTTTGCTAACCGATGGCTCTCTGCTTGGGGAAAGGGGCAGTCCCCTTATGCTGGAGATTTGGTTGGTGTAAAATGCTTTGGAACCCTTGAAGCTCTGCACTGCTAAGGCTTTGTCAGTGGGGCCATGGCTCCAGTGCTGGGGGAGAGCTCTCTCAGCACTGTAGGAAAAACACCTCCACAAGGGGGGTCGTTCCCAGTGTTGGGAGCCTGTCTACACTGACAAGTGGTTGTGCTGAAGCTGCCTGTGTTAAGGTGGGTTGGAAATGCCAACTCAAAACTTTACTAATCGAGTAGTCGATGCAATTTGCACCAACTATTCGATTAGTCGATAAGGGCACTTCTGTTTTGAAATGTAGCAACAGTCCCAGAGCTGCTACACTTCAAAGGTGAAAGTGCTGCAGGGAGCTCGGGGCAGCAGGGGACTCAGTTAGTCGCCTGCTGGCCCCGTGTTCCTAGTGGAGTTTCAAAATGGCAGCACCACATGGAGCATGGGGTCAGAGGGAGTCCCCAGCTGACCCCGGGCTCCATGTGGCACTGCTGCTTTGAAGCACCCCCTTCTCTGCCCCTTTCTGATAGGCAGCAAGGGGGGAAGTGACGTGTCAACGAGTGGGTCGACTGTCCAATGAACATTTGCTCATCAGATAGTTGACTAGTTGTTCACATCCTTAAGTTGTGTGATTTCCCCCCCCCCCCTTCCTCCGAGCATGAAAGTTTCAGCACAGTCACTTGTCCATGTAGATAAGCCAGGCTAGGGATGTGATGCCTGATCTGGTTTCTTCACCCCCAGAGAAGAACCATTGAGTTGCCATCCCCTGTTCACCCAGCAGCCTTTCACTGCTCCGGTCAGTGAATTTGGTCTCCGAGATCAAAGCCTTTCTCCATAACCCTTAGTCAGCGCTTTCTCTCTTTTTCAGACTTCCATCTCCAGCAAGCTGGAGTTCTGAACTTCATTGTGATTAAATAGCCCCTTTGGGGAGGGGTCATGGGGATGGAGATCAGGATTGCAGCCAGAGTTTGGAGAGAGCTGAGGGAAAGACTCACGAGAAATCCCTTAGGTTCCTTTGAAAAGCTTTAGGTGCCCAGACCCCTTTGAATTCCAGTGACTGTCACATGCCAGGAAGGGGAATCTGAGAGGTTGGATTTGCTGCCATATGAAGGTGTCATGGGTCCAAACCTCTTCCCACAGGGCTCATGTGGCGTGGCAGTGGGCAACGTCTGCCTTCATGTTAACTGAGGTAGTGAGCTAGAGGCAAGAGGAAAGATTCAGAGGGTATGATCAGTCAGGCTGGGGCACCCCATTGGAAGCTCCCTGTTCTCACTCTTCCGGAGTCACTGTTGATTAGATCAGCTCATAAGAATCTTCTGCATGTCTAAGGACCAACCCGCATGAAATAGAGCAGTGGTCCAGCTCGACCATCTTGTCTCCAGTGGTGGCCTATGCAGGGTACTTCAGAAGCCTGATGTGATGCTTCTAGTTAAACGATATGTTGTCCAAGGGCTGGAATTGCAACTTGGCTCAGCTCATATCCTGCATCTTGAGGAGCAAGGCCCTTGTATTATCCCAGCTGCTCGAAGTACTGGGAGCTTATCGCTGTTCATGTTGACTTTTTTCCTCTTGCTCTCATTCCTCCAAAGGATCATCATCTCCACTCCATTTGCTGTGATCTCCTACTTCCTGGTATGGTTTGTGCCAGACACTTCAAGTGGCCAGGTGATGTGGCATCTTCTCTTTTACTGCATGTTCCAGACGCTTGTGACGGTGAGTCCCTTGCCACACCCACCTGGGCTCCTTGGGAGGGAAAAGGACAACCTCTTCTCAGCTTCATCAGGCAGTTGAGAAAAAGGCTTGGCATAAGCCATCCTGACAGGTGTAAGAGGCTGAGAATTTGCAAAGGCTGTCCTGGGACCACCAAAGTCATCTGGGTTTCCCACAGTCCTGATTGTACAACTCAGTCGTGCCTCTGGCCATAGGTATTTTTGACTGATCTGCTGTTGGGACTGGAGAGGTGAGACCAGTCATGGCTCCTCTCCGCCCCTCCAGCAGTGTAGGGGACTCCGAAAGGTCGGCCTTGAGTGGGGTGGAGCATTGCAGATGGGAGCCAGGATTCCTGTTTGTTCTGGTATATAGTCTTGTGCCTGGATGAAGCTTTCTTTCCACAAAAGAATCTTCCAACCCATTCAGTCTATGCCTGCTCTCAGCATCTTGCTCTGGTCCGTAGCATGAATTCCCAGGACCTCCTTCAACATGTCTGCACCAAAGGGTTAACTTTCTCTCTCTCTTGCAGTGCTTCCATGTTCCCTATTCAGCACTCACTATGTTCATCAGCAGGGAGCAGAGTGAACGGGATTCTGCCACTGCCTATCGTAAGTGCCCTTCCCTTCTCCCTTACAACTACAGTCTGTGCTTCCCTCCCCACTCACACACACACACACACACACACACACACACACACACACACACACACACACACACACACACACACACACACAGAGCTTGGTTGCAGGCTCAGAAGTACATGTGCTCCTGGCATTTCATTTCTGGTCACTGGTAGGCAGCAGGCTTCACCATTGAGTATCCTGCACACGTAATGGACAGGTGTGTGTGTGGGGGGGTGTCTCTTGCTGCTCCCACAAGACGTATGTGAATCATACACCGACGTTACTGGCAGGGAGCATATTTGCACATGGGCTCCTCCTTGCCTATGTGCATGTTCTGAATGGCTTCCAAAACTCCTTGCACTTCACTTACACTGCAGCCACCAGATCCCTCTTATTAGACTATAAGGAAGGGCCTTTGGTGCTTCTCATGTGAAGTCCACATCTAACCTGTGGCATGAGTCTGTCTGGACACGAGTGGTTGGGGGACACTGCCTGCTGAGAGTTTGTCCATTGGAGAGCATAGTGGGTAGAGACTTGAATCTTGGGTTCTGTTCCCAGCCTTCATGCTGAGCTGTTGTGTGATCCAGGGCAAATCCCTTCACCTCTCCATGCCTGTTTTTTTTCCCCCCCAGAGTTGCTTCCTCCCATATACTCGGAGAGCTGTAGAAGCAATTACAGTTACGCGCGGAGCTCTTGTGGCTGGCAGGATGGGTGCCGTGTGCCACTTGAGGGTTTAAAGTTAGGGGTGTGTACAGCATGAAGCTTGCCTCTGGAGCAGCAGACATTAGGATCCACTCTCCTTATTCTGTTGGCCCAGGGCATTGACGTGGACAACCCAGTTACGACCAGTGTGTCTCCTCTGCTCAGGTATGACCGTGGAGGTGCTGGGCACAGTGCTGGGAACGGCCATCCAGGGGCAGATCGTGGGTAAGGCGGGTACTCCCTGCATTCAGGACTCCCACTTCTTTGACATCACTAACTCCTCGGTGGCCATGGCGGCGGTGAACGTAACCCGTGACACCGGCTCCCTCACGGACACGGTATGTCTGTGGCACCCTGGCCACTCACCCGCACTCTGCTCTTTCATCGCAGCCTCTCCCTGCTGACTCAGCTGGTCTCTGGAGGCAGGAAATAATGTGAAAGCTGAGTCTCTTGGTCTCTCTGTCCTGTCTCCAGAGAGATCCCTGCATAATGAGAATGGAGCTGCTGTGGCGCTAAGGCACTGGTGATGCGTGAGGAGGGTCAAGGAGCCTGTGGGGGGGTCCCTCCCCCCAACACTGTGGGTGGGAGGAACAAGGAGCCAGAGCTATGCCTGCTATGGGCCCTCACACTCACCAGCAGCGGAGAGGAGGGGGTGGAAATGGAGCCATGTGACTCTGCTCCTTGGCTCCCAGCTGCATCAGTTGCGGGAGGGCAGGAACATCCCTCACATTCAGCAGCAGGAGATGGAGTGAGGCAGCTGGGGGAGCAGGCTGGGGCAGGGTTGCTGCACTTCCCCTGCTGCTTCCAGTGAGCATGGGGGGTGGCTGACCCCAGTCGTTCCCTCCCCCATGCTAGTCTCCTGGGCCATGTTGCTTGGAGGAAGGGGTGGGGCAGGACCTAGGGCAGAAGAGGTGTTGTCCTGGCCCTCTGCCACTGGCGTAGGGTGGTCACATAGCCAGTGCACTGCCACCACCCATGTCCTTCTTTAATGGCTGCCCCTAAGCGAAGAGACTTAGGGGTACTGATCTCCATGCAGCAGGTATAGGGGAGAGTCTCATGGGTACTGCCCACTCCAGTCTTAGTGAGAGCTCCGTCCGGCGCCTGCGTGACCCTGGCTGCACCATTGGCTAGTGCTCCCCAAGAAAGGCTGATAGAAGGATCCTGGGGGAGCAGCCTCACTAACTGGCTCTGCATCTGTCTTGTGCAGAGAAACGCGTACATGATTGCAGCCGGCGTCATCGGTGGGATCTACATACTCTGTGCGCTCGTCCTGTCGCTGGGCGTGCAGGAGAAGCGAGGTGAGCGCTAGATGTTCAATATCGATTTAACTAAAGTCGATTCACCCCATGATTTCTTATCGGTCAGTCGACTATTCTATAGTCCCTGGGCAGCCCCTGGTGGTAGGCGGGTGGGTGGGGGGGAGGAGATCTGAGCTCCTGGACACGGCACGAGCTGGAACTGAGCCAGGCAGCCTGCCCACCTGGTTCCTGATATACTTGAAATGCAGAGCCATAGCAGGGGTAGGTCCAGGACGCAGTGCAAGCCGGGACTGAGCTGGGCTGCTGGCCAGCCTGCTAAACAATGCACTGGCAAGGGGTGGGGGGAAAATGCATGCAGTCTGTATCCTTAACCTATAAGCTATTGCTTCTCAGTTAATCGATTACACTAATACAGCCCTAGTGAGCGCGGGAGGTGGTGTCCCTTAACGTCATATTTGCAGTGTCCAGAAGAGCTTTCTAAGCAACTGGCCAGCTTGAACCTGAGTATGGGCCATCTCACCTGTTTGAACAGCATTATACCAGTGTCTCCACCTGACTCTCCCCTAATAATATGGGCGGGAAGGACCAGGGAAGGGGAAATTGCACAAGGTGAGAATTCCTATTAAAAGCTGTCCTCACCTGCTGTAGGTGAAGCTGCCTCCAAAGCAACACCCTGGCTTCAGCCAGCCAGGAGCAGATGACCATGTTTTCTGCCAATCTCTTTAAATGGGCCCCATTGTGAACCATGTCCTTTGGACTGTAGTAATTCACCAGCCTCTCCCCTGGCAAGCCCTCTCCCTCTCTGCTATAAGTGAACACACCCCAGGCTGGCTCCCAACCCTGCTCTTGAGTAGTTCAGATCTGGGAAGGAAAAACTTCTAGCTTAGCATGAAGCGGGGACTGTGGCAGCCCTGCAGCACCAGCATGAAACCAAAACGTTCCAGTATAAAGCATGGAGACTAGGGTGCTTGTAACACACCAGGTGTGGACACAACTCCATTTGGGGTGGGGGGGGTGCTCCTTTCTGGAGGGGGATGCAAAGCAAATGCAAAGAATCCTATTCTGGGCTCAGTGGGTTCCTGCTTTATTTACCCTTCCTCCTCCCTCCCCCGATTCAGTGCATGAATCCCAACTCTCCCTGGGAGTCGAAGCACTTACTGCTCCTGCACCTTTCCTCCTGGCATCTTCATCAGCCCGTGCTATTGACTCCAGCTTATCAGCCAAAACTAGGGAGGGACGGAGTTCAGGTGAATGTAAAGCAGGAAGGTGGGGGTGGGGAACAAGCACACCGCGTCAGACCATTTCTTGTGTAAACCTCGTGGGAAGGGCTGTGTCTGACAAGACCTCCTCTCTCGCTGGGCAGTCTGAGGGGACCATATCGCTGCAGGAAGCTCCTGGGAACTTGTCTTCCCTGCTGTTTACCCATGTCCATCTTGCAGCCTGGCTTTGTCTGACCATCTAGCCCCCCAGATGCTGGTGGAAATTGGATTATTCCATGGCTGCAATAACAGTGTGAAGTGGGATTTTGTTTGAGCACAGCTGGGTTTTATCCACTCGGGCAGTGCTCTGCTGATGCTGGGAGAAGAGATCTAGATGACAGGAAGTTTAGACTTTTCTCCCAGCACTGCCACTGGCTTTCTGTGTTGTCTTGAGCAAGTCACTTAACTGGTCGGTGCCTGAGTTTCCCATCTCTAAAATGAGACTCATGGGGACTTGGCTCACAAGAATGTTCCAGGAAGCTGGGAGAAGTCCATTATCTGAGACTGGTTAATACTGAGTCCCAATGGTGCATTTTTTTTTAAACCCAGTGTACTGCAGTAATGCCCCCCAGCCACCCCTGCTTGTCTCTTGCAGCATTGTTATGCCAGGGTGTCTTTTTCTCTTGCGGTCTAATCACCTGCTGATCATGCTCTGCTCCCCAGATGCTGTGGCGCTCCAGCTGGATAAGCCCATCTCTTTCTTCCAGGGGCTGAAGTTGGTGATGAAACATGGTGCCTACGTTAAGCTGATTGTTGGCTTCCTCTTCACCTCGCTAGCCTTCATGGTAAGAAAACGGCCTTGGGCAGGAACAGTGTGGCTTGGAGCCCGCCATCAAGGGGGAGGAAATGCATAACTGGCTGAGGACTACCAGCTGTAGGAAACTGTAGAAGAGCAAAGGGGGCTGAGGGAGTCAACTACTAGAAACCTGCCCTGAGGCAGATAACATCAAGGCTTGTGGAATCTCCTGCAGCAGTCAAGATGGGCTATGTGCCCTAGCTGGAAATCATGTCTCTCTCCATGCTTCCAGTAAATGTGGATTGTGCCTATTCACTCTTTTCCTCTGCTTTAGGGACCCTCCCAATCCAAATGCCACCATCCTTTTGCCTTAGCTATCTTCCCTGTCCTCCTGGCAGCAATTGCTGGTGCCCTGCCACCCGCTTCCATCTTGTGACCTTGGCCTAAACCCATCTTTGGCCCTGTTGCTCGACTCCCCTGGGTCTTGTTTACAGATGTGTCGGGACAGTCTCTGCCCTGAGAGAATTCCTGAGAATTTGAGGGCGGGGGGTTAGAATCTTAGCCCTATTGGAGGGGGTATCTCCCTCATTATTCTCAAGGCCTGACTGCAGCAGCAAGCTGCGTTCATAGAGTCCCCAGCCTCAGTGTGTCTATGCACTGGATCCAGCTAGAGCTCTCTGCATTTTTCCTGTGGGGTAGGCCTGGGGTCTCCAGGGAATCCAGTTTCTCGGTATGGGGAGCAAGGGCATTCAATGTATTTTCCTCGGGAAATGTGAATCTTCCCATTCAGCTCTGTGATCTTCCCGTGTCTGTTTCCTTCTCCAGCTGCTGGAAGGGAACTTTGCCTTGTTTTGTACCTACACCCTGGGATTTCGCAATGAGTTCCAGAACATCCTCCTGGCCATTATGGTACATATCGTGTGTGTGTGTGTGTGTGTGTGTGTGTGTGTGTGTGTGTGTGTGTCACCCTTCCCATCCCCAACCCTGTCTTCCTGGCCAGCTCTTTGAGGTAGAGAGTTTGTCTGAACAGTGCCTAGCTCAATGGGACCCTGATCTCTTTGGGTCCTGAAACAGTACAGTAATAAACCTGAATAGGAATTGCTGTCCCCTTCACCTGGCCATCTCCTTCCTCACCATGGTGGCTCAAGGCTACTGGTCACTGGGGGTGGAGACTTGACTATGGAGCTAAAGCAAAGAGGGAACCCCAGGTGAGAAGCAGGAAGGTGGAGGGAGATCCTGGCTGGAAGTGCCTGGCATGTGGGGGGGAAGGTGTTTGGAGATGGCCTCAGGATGGGGGAAGGGGAATGAGTTTCTTAACCTGGTTCCTGGCAACCACATGGCCAGCTGACAAGAGCAGCAAGTCCTTTGTTTGCATTTGAAGCTGACCATGAAAGGGGGAAGAAGAAAGGCCGCCTGGGCCCTTTGTCCAAACCCTGCCATTTTATTTATTTTTTCTTTCCATGAGGGGGTGGGGGGAGAAAGAGCCCTGGGTATTTGAGTGCAGGGAGATGCTGAATGGAGGGAAGAGAGGGGATTGTCTGGGAACCCTTTGGATAATGGAGAATGAGGGGGCCAGGGGAACACTGTACCGTGAAATGCTTTGTCCTGCCAGAAAGGCAGTGAAAGAAAGAAAATCCGCCCCTGGCTCTAGGGAAACATAAGGGCTCAAAAGCGATGGAGGCAGGAGACCAATCCCAGAGCTGAATGTGCCTGCCCTGCATCCATGAAGCCAGTGGCCTGGTGCCTGCTCCACCCAGGGCCCCTCTTGCACAGGGTGTTTGTCACATGTCTGGCTGCAGCATGTTGGGTCTCTTGCTCTGTTCTAGGGGCCATTTTGCTTCCGAGCCATCTGGCAAAGTGGTCACCAATGTTCCCCCGGCCTGGTCCAGAACAGACTCTTCCAGCGCTTGCTGAGCCCATGGGGCTTTGCAAGGCTGCTTCTGGAGAGAGTCTAAGGCGTCTGCAATGAGGTCCTTGGAGCTTGGGCCATCTGGTGTACATGAAAGAACCAAGGGGGCTCCAAACACAGGCAAAAGCCCAAATCCATCCCTCGCGCATCCTGGCCTGACCTCAGTCTGACACCCCTAACCAGTGCCACTTCTCCTATGCTGGAGGTTGATACTTGGCATGTCTGGTGGACAAGGCTTCTGTAGAGACTGGCTGGCCCAAGACCCAGCTCTTTTTTTTCGCTCTCATTTGTAGCTCTCTGCCACCTTGACCGTCCCCCTCTGGCAATGGTTCCTCATGCACTTTGGGAAGAAAACTGCCGTGTATCTTGGGATCTCGGTGAGTAGGCCTCCTGGGGTTCTTGCACGGGGTAGAGAATGGTTTGTCGCTCTGTGCCTCCTAGGGAATCCTAACAAGTGGAAGCAGAGAAAGACCAGAGCAGGGGATATAAACCATATGCCTCCAGGCAGCCGATCCAGAAGGGGGAAGGAGTGAGGCTGTCCCATCCATAGGATGGTTTGGGGTGGCCACCCCAGGTTCTGTGCTTTGGGGGGAGCCCTACAGTGGCCACCTCACTGTCCTATGGGAAAGAGGATTACAGGGGGCCTGGCGTGGGGCTGCAGCAGGGGACACTTCTTCCCCCCCACTTCATACTTGCTGCAGTGGCAGAAGCAGGAGCAGCTTGGCAGCCTGCTGCACTGTGCTCTGCCCCACCACCCCCTCTCGGCCTGCTGTGCTTGGCTTCTCTGCAGCCCCAGGAAGCAGA